GGCAGATATTCTTAATTAGCAACAAATGAATGTCGGCTTCCCGAGTTTTGAAACACGTTCCGGGAAGTTCTTTTTTTAAATTAGGAATAACATTTGAGTGAAGGTTCGATAGAAATTTCAAATAAAGAAGATGTCTTTTTAATTCATAATATTTGTTTTTTTTTGTAATAAAAACTGTTTGGGATATAGACCCTACTTTTAAATAAGAAAAGAGAACTATGCTTAATATTATTAGATCAGAATATATACCTTACATGTAATGCTGTTAAACTTTTAGTATTAAGTATTAATCAGAGAAGGTGGAAATCAGAAAAGCAGTTTATCCCATATCGATTATTAAATTATTTAATTGTATGAATAATATTTTTTATTTAAAAGGCCGAATTTAAACAGCGAATTACCAATTTCCATTGCCTTAAATTTATCTTCGAAATTGACTAGTATTGACAGATGATGATGACTTCATACATTTGTAAACTTGCTGTCAAATTTACTTTGCTTTTGCACTTCAGAAAAGTGAACAGCTTAATGAAGAGCGGATATTCGGTTATTTATTAATAGACTTTATACCACCATAATCTGTTTCTACCGAGCAGTCTTTCTCGTGTCTCTTACTACGGGACATTGGCGAAATTTCTGTGTAAGCGGAGAAAGCCACAGACACAAAAAAAAAGTTACTTTATTTCATTTGTCATTTTGATGACAGACGTGTGACGTTGCAGGTTTATGAGAAACCAAATTGCTTAGAAAAATATTTCTGATATTATTATGCTCTTTTTCGTTGTTTTTTTGTGGATGACGTAATAAAATGAATAATATTTGTATTAAAATAATACGAAAACAACTATCACAAGTAATTATAATATATTATCTTTGCGTAAATTGTTACTCTCAGGTTCACAAGTGTTCAACTAATCTGGGTTTTATCAAATTTATTAATTAATTTTGTCATGATTTATTCGAATACTTTAAAATAGCGACTTAGTACTTAAAAGTAATTTCTTAATTATTTTTGACATAATTTACCACATCAAGTTACCACTTGTTAAATTTTGTCAATAGACTGTGAATCGTATATCAAGCAACATAAAGTTCAAAGTCATATAAATATTTACAGTTTTGGGTAACTTGACCTGTGTCTGCCTGTACAATCAACAGTCCAGCCAGCATAACAGTTTTATTAAATCGTTTCAGCATAAACAAGTATTAGTTATGGGATAATTTAAAATGAGTACGCCTTTTTGGAACTTTTTTGGATTCTGTGTACAAAACTGTCTTATAGTGACTTGTAACATATTTATTATGTATTTTACACAAAATAAAAAAAAATGAGAGCAGTTAATTGAAAGTACTGTGAAATAGAATGTGATTACAGAAAAAAATAGTATTTAGAGAAAATGAAAAAAGAAATTCCACTCCATCCTGCGCTATCCGTGTGGACGCAAACCAATTTATGCTACTGAGACCGTAACGGCCGTGTCGAAATTCGTCTAGATATCTAGGCTGCAAGGCTTTAGTCAGTTTAATGCTAGATAAAAATGTGGTAAGCGTTGAAGAGTTAGGATTTAATTAAATAAGTTAAACGTTTTTATTACAAATAGGGCATAACAGATTTCTCGCTTGATTGAATCACCTGTCTGGAGAAGAAACCTTACAGAAGACCGCAGTGAAATAACACTACGTACCTGTACCTGGTATAGCGTTGTGTGTAGACCGGGACTTCGACTCTTATCCTACGGGTGCGGTGTCAGCCTAATGCTAAGCTAGTATGCAAGTATGCTAGCTGTGTAGTGTTGGTGTTTGTGGCCTATGTGGAGGAGGACTCGGAGGCGAATACTCATGCGTTGTCAGCTCTGAAGGAAAAGGCCTTTTGAAGACCGGTCGGACCGGTCTGTATGGTAAGGAATGTCAGCGTAGGCAACGTACGTATCACTCGTTCGTAATTATCGTTCGTGTCGTCTTAAAGGCAACGGTGGCTGCTTACCATATTTCAGGTCAAAGGCTTGTTTGCCATTCTTTTCAATAGACCTTAAGAACGGACGCGAGCTGAGAGACTAGGTGTGAGCGTTCTAAAGACGGTTTCAAGGACCGTTTTGTGTTCCGCGACGATAGAACCGTTTTACGTTTCGGATCAAAACAGTCTTCGTCGAACAACTAGTCCTCGGATTGTCTGCACGTCAATATGTACTTTATGATGAAGTAAATATAGTCTATAATAGAACGCAATGATATGAGGCCGTTTCGTTCTATGATAATTAAGCTTTGATTTTACAATAATATAATCTTTATTATTGAACATCTAAAGTCGATTATCGTATAACACACCATTTATTTCGATGTTTCGTCGTCTCGTTCGCAGCAACGAAACGAACGTTAATAAGATTTCATTTAGTTCAGTTTCGTTGCGTTACATTCGTTCGACCGTCGCGTGTCATTTCGTTGCGTCACCCAGCCGCAACCAAAACCAGTTGCGAACGAGAACCGTTTCGAGGACTAGTTTTCGTTTAAGAAAAAACGGTTGCGAACGAGAACCGTTTCGAGGACTAGTTTTCGTTTAAGAAAAAACGGTTACGCTTCGTCGTCAGAAAATTTGAGAACGACCCACCGCTACGAGAGACATTTGAGAAATAGATATTTGAAAATTCTATTGTTTTCATGCATTGGCAAATACCGTGTGATAAGGACAACAGTAGTTAACGCTGAAAATTGCGTATAAAAATTGCGAAATTTGAGGTTTGGCTTTCGACGGTTTCCTCGTCAAAATTAAGATATATGTAAAAGAAATTTTACACAAATAATAATAAGTAATTATACTATGCCTCTATGTTTTGATTTTTTTGTAAATGCTTATTTATAACCCACACTGGACGTCTTTAGTGGTGATATAAATTTGTTTATTTTTGGCCTTTTTCGGTGGCTTCTAGTTTCTTTGAAACACAAGTTATCGAAAAAAGGAAAACATAGTATAAGGAGCATAGTATGAGTAAAGTTATTAAATAAAACTAGTTTTTAACGTAGCCTTTTCAGGCTGCCTTGTCAGTCTTTCTGACGAAGCAGCCTGAAAAGGCTGCGAAACGTCAATAAATAAATAAAGTTTCGTGCATTAACCTGTTAAAAACTAGTATTATTTAATGAGTGATGTGCGTGAAACAAATATGAGTAAAATTATATTTTATGTATGAAAATCAATTATTTAGTGAATAAAATCAAGGAGGAATCAGTCGAAAACGTTTGTTTGGAAAAAAAAACACTGCGCGCTTTCCCTATTAAGGAGGTGGAGGTAATTTGTGTACAACTAACAACATCAACCGATGGTACCGAATAAATGTTGTTAATTTTGCTTTTAATGTAGGTACTTAAGATTTGTGTAAAGAAGAAGTACAATATTTTATTGGCTCTGTTTTTTTGAAGTCGGTTTAAATATTTTATAAGAAAATTCAAAATAGTATATATTTTTTAGTCGAATGTGTCATTATCCTTAACTAAACTCTTTATCAATGTCACTCAATATTCATATGTAATGATGTAACGACCAAGCAAAAATAGGGAAATTTTATTTTTTTTACATATTGAATATCTGAAGTAATAATAAACTAAATCCCTCAATAATGAACTAATTTTGATCCTGGCTGTGAAAATTATCCTAAATCTGGTAGAAACGCTTTATACTTTTTACTTACTGCCATCTATAAATGTATAAATTACTTACAATATTATAATTATTTTGTGGAAGGGTGAAATTTTAAAATGGTATGATGTTATATTGATAGAAGAATAAAACGAGTTAACCATTTCCGCATTTACGTTATAGTCGTATCTATACAGCATATCCATAAAGTTACGCAGTAAACAACCAGGCAATAAGGCATTAAGGGGGGGGGGGGGGGGGGATAATTTGTGACTTTTCCGGTATGACCACCGGTTCCGAGTTAAAAAGTGAGTTTGTTTTTACAGAATAGTACTGTAGGTTGGCAAGGTGAGTCGAGTTCAGCTGTAATTCGATCAGACTTACGGCCAGGGTTGCCATCCATACGAGATTTCTTGTAAAAATACGAGATTTTTGGTCTTCCGTACGAGGTACGAGAACACTTCACATCTCGTTCATAATTGTAATTTTCTCAGAGTAATTTATGTCATGATTTTTCATTGTAGGCGACACGTTGGAGCATAAATCGTAAGTACCCAAAGCAGTCTATATTAATTATAATTTTTATGATAAGCATTTTACAAAAAACACACATGTTGTCTCATTTTTTGTTCACTCAAAGAACAATGTAGTCAAACGTTTTGATTCAGATTAAAAATTATTATTATTAGTTTAAAAAAAAATATGGTAAAAATATCGTTTGCCTAATAATACCGGAAGGGAAGAAAGAATTAACTCGAAATCATAATAACTTTATTTTAGCTCCGGCGGGATAATAATCTTTCAAGAAAAGCAACTTAAGTATAGGAGTAGAAACACTACACTACATACATATAATAAGATTGTTTTATATTTCACTTTAAAGTATTTACTAAAATAAATTCTAGGCTGTATTATTTAAATTAAAAACAAAACACATGTAACACATATTTACACTACAGTTAGTAGTCGTAATTTTAGCTTACCTCAATATAATATAACAAATAAACAATAATTAAATGTCTCAAAACAAATATTGTACATTAAAGAAATATACGAATGAAAATTATCAAAAAGTATCTTAGGCCACGCTGTTTCATTGATAGTAAAATTTATTAATTTAATGAAGATATAGATAATATCACGTCAAATACATATAAATATGTAAAATTTTGACAACTAGTTATTTTTTCTCTAGTATTTTAATTATAATCAAATTTAACGAACGATGAAATAACACGGCCTAAATTTCAATACCAAATACTTTTTAAATAAACTCAACCAATACAAAATATACATATAATAAGCAAATAAATTCTCAAGCCAATACATTTTAAATAAAAACAAAACAATACAAATTATAATCTCAACTCACCGAACCCGAAGTTACACAAACTTTTCCACACAGTTCCCGCTTTGTTTACGTGGCCAAACACGTTGTTGTTGTTGTTTATGTTTAAGTGGTTCGCACGAAGCACGCGACACGTGCATACCCCAGCGCGACCGTCACTCAACTGACGTTGCGTAACGGACCGCCAGGATATCGCGCTTACATTTCCATTTTCCCTACCAATTTTCATGGACACCCCCTCCCCTCCCCACCCCGCGGCTCCTTTGCACCCTTCAAGTAAAACTACTGTGGGAGAACCAAGGTGTCTACTCTGTAACTGTGACAATTGTACTGAATAACTTTCGTCAATTTCCATCACCATTCTAAAGGGTAGTAAACTCTCTAAACATGACCTACGTACTATTAAACTTTCTTCTATTTTCATCACTATTCTATGTTGCATGACGTTCAGTAGAAAGTACTGGATAAGTCCAAGTGTAATGTGTTCGAATTTTAAAGACCACTAGCACTAAAAAGTACTCAAATTAAATTTTAATCATATTTAAACCTAATTCTATCTCTGTTTTTATGTAAACGATTGGCAAAGATGAAATGATGGAAACAGGGAATAACTTTATATTGTATTAAGAATGATGGTGCCAGTGGTCCTAAAAATATGAAGGGCTTTTCAAATGTATTCGCAATTTTCAAAGCTGGTTTAGAGAGTTAGACCCCGCTACGTATACGAAGTGTCTCATGAAAATGGTGTTTCATCGCTACGCCGTAGACGGTCGGGATGCGCCGTAGAGTCTCGTAGCTGAAGCTCCTCCTTCACTTAGCTACGGTGAGGCTGAAGTACGAAGAAGGCTTTTAATACCTCAAAATATTCTTTGAAATCTTACTTATCTCCAAAATATTATTTTAGTTTTTCGACCTAATTAGTATCTACTAATTATTATAATTAATATTTTTTATATTTACTAATTTTGATTACGCATATTCAGAGTTACAAGTGAGTTACTCCATTTTGATTGTTCATTATATTTGGAAGTAGTATTTTGCTATCATATGCCATTGTTATAATCATGATAACAAAAAAAGTCTCAGTAGTAGTCAGTTGATAGTTTAGATATTTAGATAATTATACACCTTTGGAATCCATAACGTAGTTTGTGTCTTTGTTTCATGAAGTTGTCCACAAATTTGGAACGTATGGAATGATGCTTCAAATAAAATACGAATATATGGTCAAATAAATAAAGCCTAAAAATTCCATTTAAATAAAAAAAACTTTTTTTTCCTGAATCCGAATTTAATATAAAATCTAATGATTGAAATTTCAGAGGTCCAGGTGTGGTAGGTGAGGGGTCAGGGTCATCTAAAAAATCTAAAAAAAAAAAAATATTTAATTTTTTTGTTACATGTCAAGAGATATCAATAATTTATCAAACACCCGGGATTCGCACGACATTCGCTAACTCATGGTTTTGACATTAGAATCAAAGCATCCTTTATTTAAATAAAATATTTCTATGCTATTTATTTTTTAAAAATTTATTTCTTCTTCTTTTATTATTACTATTCTTCTTCTTATTTTTTAATAATTTATTGCTACTTCTTCTTTAAATGTTTAATACTTGTAAAGGTATTCATTTGATATTGTGGATTACCTACAATGTGTAGATGGTCATTGCATTCGCCCGGATAGCGAAGGGTGCTGGTTCGAGTCCCGTCAGCTGCCTGGTCCGTGACGATTATTTCTAGTAAAATTTTCTTTAAATTTTTTTTATTAACTAAAATAGTTTTACTTCAATGACCTGAATACATTTGGAGCAATACGTACAACTTTGTATTTATTTTCTACATAAACTATGTTCAATCACTAGATATTCTATCCGACTGTAGCAGTATAAAACAATAAAACATAGCATGTATAGTGAAAAATAAGAATAATTTTCTGCAAATTAATAAATAAGCACAATCAATTATTCCTCATTATTTTAATAAGTTGTGCTACTATATTTAGTTTTATGAACTTTATTACAAAACCAACAAGGATATTCTCTTCCAGACATATAGAACGTAAAACCTGCTCCTCATAAATTAATAAAAGCATTAGTTTTCAGAGCGGGGCACGCCCACTCGAGGGGCGTGGCTACATTAAGACACGCCCACCGCCTCCTTGAAGCTCGAGTAGTCCTCCTCCTCTCTTCAGACAATGCCTCGATAAACGTATAATACTGCTTATTTCAGGAAACCACCGGTTCGATATGAGTTTTGAAAAAGATTAGGTATTTTAGACGCGGCCGAGTAGCACGATGTGGCAATACGCATATTGATCGGTAAAACTTTCTAGACGATTGATGGAATACCTATGGATTCTTTTTATCTGGACATTGGGAGAAGGAAGTTATTTCTTACGTCGTCATATTTTTTTTTATAATTTGATGAGCAGATGAAGGTTAGTTGTTTTGTTGTAATCGTTATTCAAATTTTTGCATTACTACCAAAGAGGACGTGAAAGTTTTCAGTTTTGACTGTAAGTAATTGTTGTTGAATAGACAAGAAATCTAAAAAATCTGGAAAATAATTGAAAAAGATCATGTAATTTTTAATACAATATTGAGGTCGGTTGTATTTACCTATTTGGTTAACATTCGACGTTCTTTTTTTTTAAGAATTTATTAAAATAGAAAAAACGTATTTTTATTTATATATGTTTCAGTGTCACCATAGTGTAGAAGTAGATTTATATTATTATGTTTTTTTAATGTACACTTTTACCTAATTTATGTAAGTGCTTGCAGTGTTGGCCTTTAATTGGTTAGCACATTTAGAATTAAATTGAGTAGATAAGTTTTATAGTATGTTTCTATGTAGCAACCGTTGGCTGACCTAAGTAAATAAATAAACTAACTGTAAAAACATATTAATTGGTGACTTAATCAAATTGGATTTGTAAAATTATTTTTAAGTAGTATTTTCTTCTTTTCAACATCCTTAATTTGATACTTGTTTTTTTTAATGTTTTTATTATAACAGGAATTGTAAATGATGTAATAATATATAAATAACTTCATAAATTCATATCCCGGAATGGTGAAACATAGACAGGATTAATAGATTTATTGTAACATCACTATTGTACCTATGTTTATGAATAAATTAATCCTATTCTATGGATGCACAATACATTTTAGTTTCAGCTACGTAGTTAATGTATCATTAATCATTTCAAAACAGATCACAAGGGACGTAGTTTTCTGTTTGAACCAAAACAGCGCAGAAATGTTATATTAAATCTCATGGTTGCACAGTTTTTAATTAATGCACTGAATTTTATTTTTAATTTTGATATAAATTTACCAAAGAGGTTTAATGTCTCCCAAATCAGTTTAATATAAAAAAATGTATTCATAGGATCAAACTGATATTAACTGAAAATAAAAATGGGCTGAATAAAACCGACTTCGTAAAAAAATAACAAATGGCGCACGTTTTGTACCATTGTAAAACTTTGATAAGTGCTTCATATTTAGCAAATTATTATTCACAAACAAACCAAACAAATACTCGAATAATAATGTTCCAACTTACAGTGCAAATTTATCTTTAATGACTGTACATTTAATAATTGTAAGTATTAAATCAACAGGAAAAGATGATTGAAACTTTGATTTTTTGTTTCGCGTAGGTATATTTTATCACGATGGATAGAAAGAAAAGTAGATATCGCACCTTACTAATGAGAGTATTTAATGCATTCTTGTTAATTAATTGCACTCACAAGCGCTGGGGCACCAACATAACACTCGTATATTAAAAACCTCGATCTAGTTAACTTTGCGCTCGATGCAACAATCTGCTAGGCAAGTGTTAGGTTCCTGAGGGATTTTCAAAAAAACTAGTAAAATAAAAACGTCATCAAGTTTTCAGTTAAAATTATATAACAAAATAAAACTCATGTCAAAGATATCATAAGCCATGTTTGATTTTGTTCCATGTTTTGTGTTTTCGGTGCATGACATTTAAATAAACAATCAAATCAAATAAAATCAATTCAAGTTTTAGCACATTCGTTTGTACATTATTTCCATATCACCAGTGCATTGCTAGGTTGATGGAGCATCAAGTAAAATACAATAATAGGCCAAATTTAAATGTGAATCATGGTTAAACCTTATTTTACCACTTGTTTTTTGACTTTAAACAATCGTCAAAGATAGAATGGTGTGATAAACATAATTAATCTTTTATTTTCGATTCAGGAATGTTGGTGAAAGTGGACCTTCATATTTTGTGGAGGCACAACATTTTTTAATTAATGTTTTTAAGGAGTAATTTTAAGGATTTTTTACTTGTATGGAAAAATAAGACTTATTTTTATTCCAAAGTGCGAGGTGGTCGACAGCGTAATCATTAATCAGCCAATAATATGCAGCGCCCCGTTAAAAACGCCGCGCGCTGCAGCGGATCAAAACATGAGTTGAAAGAATAGCGGAGACCTTCCTCTCATAATTTAATGTTATCTGCTAAACATAACACTGTTAAACTTGTATTTTTAATGAAATAAGAAGTAGGATGAATTATCAGGAATTCATCACCAATAGTCGTTGCCTATTGGCCAAACTTTTCCACCTTTTCAGTTTTTTTGTAAATTGTGTAATATTTTTTTTCTATCAAATAATATACTTCTTTAATTATGCTCATATAATTTGCTATACTTGGTCCATGTATTTCTTGTTGCAAATGTCATTGAGTACGTCTGTATGTATGTGTCAAAACCATGGCAGTATGTGTTATATTTACTTTATTATTTTAACGTATTTTGATGCCTTATTTTGTAATTTCAAGCAAAATGCTCCACATATCATGTTTACATGTAAAATTGAATATTTTTATAACGTCCTTCGTGTCCACATTAACATTACTCCAACATTTTTCTTGACATAATGATGATAAAAATATGATGTTGAGCTCCCCCAGGATATCCGGTGGATATTGTGTTATCCGCTCACAATGAGGTTTGCGATAAATTTGTACCGGGAAATGCTACTTGATTGATACTCCCGGTTCTAGACAAAAACACTTGGACTTAGTTCACGGGAAAATTGTTAAAACAAATCTTTATAAAAAAAACAGAACATGTTAAGTTTTTAACAAAATTGTTTTATAT